TAACTGTATAACTGTTCCATTTTCAGCACTGAAACTTCTTTCATAAAATGTTTTGTTTTATTTTGAAAATGAAGTTTTCAAATGCATGCTTAGATTAATATGGGAGGCTTTCAATAAGTTTTAAGTCAAATACATGTTTGTCCAAATAAATGTACGAAATTATTTTCTCCCTTTTCAATATTGTTCCATTTGATTTCATTGCATTTAACTGTTGAGATTCAGAATCCAGTAGAAAAAACATTTGTCATAAATATTAAACCATTCTTAAACTGTACCTTTCTAATCTGCATCTTCCTTTTATCATCCAACCATGCAAATGTTCCTTCAGTTTTTGAAACAAAAAGAAGTCACTAAAAGCCAGGACAGGCAAACTGTGATGGATGAGGTTGGTTTTAGTTTGGTTGAGTTTGCTTTATTATGACAAAGTACGCTATGGCTGTCTGCCTATATGGTTGATGGAGAATAAGCCGAAATCCACATTGCTAAATAGCACTCTGGGAAATCTGATCCTTGTGTGCTAGAACATCGTTCTGCAAAAACACTTTTGTGATGAGATTACCAATGCGTTTTACTTTTACGGATTAAGTTATATCAAATTAGCGTAATAAATGCCTGCTATGATGGTACTGAATGTCATATAATCAACAATAGCAGCAGCATTTCAAAACATGGTGCCCAAAATCTTTTTAACTGAATTTTTGGTTCTGAGCTTATAGACTCGGATAGATTCACTTTAAAATAGAATAAAATAAAAATATCAGTGTTTATCACGGAAAACTCTGATCAATAAATAATGTAGTAAAGTCAACAAATAAAAACGCTGAATGTCATAGTCAATAGTCATTACAGGGTTTATTAAAGCTAAATTTCTAGCTTTGTTTTCATTTAATGTGATGGAAAGTCAATTTTTTATTCTTTGATGGAAAGAGGAAATTAAATTTTATAGTTATACTTGCTTTTATTTCCTCTCTTACTGATTACCATCACATAGACTTTCAAACTGAAAACTATCATATCTTTCTGGAATGGTTTTTGTTAATATTTTATACAATTTTTAAATTAGAATGCAAGTTTCGTACATTTTTGTTGAATGTAAATGTTTGATTCCTTTTAATTTGAAGTTATAATTAAAGAACTGTTTCATATGTTGCAGAATACTATATTGTGTTTACCTATAAGATTTTTAGAACTTTAATTAGCAGAAAGGTAATTCATGAAATTGAGACACAAAATTTGCATGAAAAATAAAATTAAAAACCACACTTTCGTCAAACTATGTATTAACATTCATGATTTATTAGATGTGCTTTAATTTTATATTATGAAGTTATATAAAAAGGCTAATTTATTAACAAATAATCTTACTTCAGAACAAAAAATAGGAAATTTCATTTCAAATCAAAGATTTCTTGTATTAAAAATTCTTAATCTTTTATAAGATAGCTAATTTTAAGATTATCATCAGTTTAAAATTTTGTTTTTTATTGATCTCTTTTTTACTCAGATCTTAAATTTCAGCCACTTTCTAACTAGAGGTAAAAACTCGATGTTTCATTCACCGCAAATGACACTAAAACAGTCTCATATTTAAACTGAAGTTTGGAAGTCTACTTGCGGAATTTAGCTATACTTTCTGTTCTATTACCATCTAGTTAAGAGGAGAATACATACAGTTTTGCTTTTGCATATTCGTATCTGACAGCATTCACATTTTGCTTACTCATACTGTTTTACTAATGAATTAATATGCACTGTAGATATAAAATATGATATGTAGAATGTCATTAATTAAGTAGCAATGCATTATTCTGAACTTTTAATGATATTGTTTTTTTTTTTTTTTTGTTAGTTTGTTTATTTGCTTCCGCAGAACTTAAATTTAAAGAAATCGGAAGACACCTAGGATACCCATTAGTAACAAACAATACTGTATTGTTTTTCGATGAAACAAATTATTTAAAAAGCCCGTCTATTAAGTAGTAATTCAAAAATGAGATATCATATGAACTTAAAAAGTAACTATCCTATTTTTGGACTCTAAGACATAAAGTTTTATTTAAAAAAAATATTTTAAATTGGGATATGTTTTATGATCCGAAGATTTTTATAAGTGCAATACAGGCCATTTAAATTGCTAAACATGAAGGAAAACACAGTAATCATATTTATGCTCGTTCTTCTGTCATATTTGTACTGTTCGAATTGTAACATATTTAACTATATTACAATAGGAGAAGGAAATGAATGACATGTCAGGTAATTTTAATGTACAGAAGACGCATAAATCAGTATTCCGATCCTTTCCCTGGCAACAATAGAACTTGCTATACTCGAGACACGGAGTCAAATAAACTTTGAATGATAGTTAAAATTATGGCAAATCATGCGGCTAGAATTCTGCGTCAGATTATCGTACAGCCTTGAAAGGTATTGTCTTTCCAAGTTCTCGGCAACTCATAAATAGATCATTTCACTTGACAAGAGTTCTGCAGAACACACTGACAAAGGCAATAGTACGAAGTGTACTGAGGAAATATAGAACTGCTTGTGCACCCTGCAGCCTCATATTATTTTGTTGAAACGTGGGTTACGGAGTCCAGACGAGAAGATTAAGCAACAAGCAACAAACCTTCAGTGATGATCAAAGTACCGGATATGCGTAGCGATGAACGGGATGTGTACCCAGTGGCACTCAGTGTCATCAATTTTGGCGCCAGGCGACGAAGAACAAAAGATCCTTTCTGTTCATTTCCATCCTGTCGACAACATATGGATACAACCATCCTGACATTATAAGCAAAAACATAATTCATCAGAAAAGGCGATGTCGCCCCACTTATAAATTCATTGTTGAGTGCACTATTTTAAAGCTGATTCTTGTGATTTAGCTTGTGATTTTCTTGTGATTTGCTGACAATTACAGATGTCGTTGCACCGCATGTGGGGATATTTAGTGTTGTGTTACCTCTCTAGTTTCCTGAACCAGGGAAGGGCAGTAACTCTGAGATTCCTAATTCGATGTATGCAAATTATCCATTGTGCATACATTAGTGAGTGGAACTATTGAGATCCTTCATGCCATTTTATGTGGCCCGCCTGGGCGCATCGATCGCAGATTCTTATAACAGTCATTAGATGGCAACCAACGCGAATAGCAGTTGCCAGATATGATAATCTGCAATCCCATTAGTCTACGATTCTACAGCGACTAAAATGTGAGACGAGTTTCTATGAATTTTTTTAACAGGACCTGCAGTACAAAAGTCAATGAGTCAATGCGATTTCCAGTTAAAACGTTGACATTCCAATCTGCTTTTTATGCTGCGTTAAGATGGCATTGTAGTTGTTTATAATGTACTCAAGCCGTCAAATGCTTATCATTTGTATATAGTACTAGAAAGCCCGGCGGTCATACGAAATGACCGCTGTTCTAAATATTATAAATTGTAATTAAAATGATTTGTGCAAAGGTGTCTGCTAATTCAAACTGAATTACCCAGGGCAGGCGGCTAGGACGCCCCTTTGCTTACTGACCCCCACGGGGTTTCTCCCTTCTGCTTGCTTAATTGCTTAAAGGAGAGTGTAATGAAGGAAACCACTGGCGGTTCTTTTCTTAAGAGCCACCGCTAGCTCAATAAATAAAGGTGATTTAAATAATAAAATGTTAATTCACATGTCAAAGATCTCTTTGTACACAACATTTCTTGTGTAGATCTTTCCATCATTTTTAAGCTCGCCTTGCAGAGGACCATCCATTATTTTTAATTTTACGTCCGTATTTTTAATTTTACGAAAACTCTTGAACATGAACTCACGAACTCTTGCGTTCAGTTGTAAACGATTTCAAAAACAGATGATTTCTAATGCAAACAAATGTTCACATTCCCCCTGACACGTTGATTTGCGTTCAGCTGAAAGTTCAGTTTAAAATACAATGTCGGAATAAAACCGGGGCAAAATTTTAAACTCTTTACGCGAAAGGATATTTAACATAGGAGTTTGGGTAAACCTACCTGATGAGATGTACTACGCACAACTCGTTAGTTAGTTTCGTCTCCTTTAATTTCTCAACATTTGCAAGTTTCTAGGTAATTCATATGTAAATATAGTTAAATGCATAATAAGCAATAATTGTATGAATTAAAAATATTTAAATGGTCTTAAATACAATGATAATTTAATTAAAACAATGATAACTGGATGTATGGTATCAGTGTGTATATGGACTATTTGAATGCCGGGGCAACTTCTCCCCATTGGCTAGTACAGTTACGCAAGCAACCAATAAACCATCGTCGACAAACAGACACTTAAGCCGCATATATATAAGATTAGCATAATCCACCTTTCGTGCAAATTTCAGGTTTGCTGTGTGCTTAACTCATGATATCGCAGTTTTAATGGCCAGCAGTGTACTTTTATCTAATAATTCTTTTGAAAACTGTTTCATAAATTTCTTCCTATTCTTGTGGTGCGGTAATTTTATCGTCCGAAAATTGATGAAATTAAATTTCTTCTTCAAACATGTTGTGTTTTGTAAACAAAGATGTGTAAAGAATTAAATAAACAAAAATGTGTAAAGCATTAGCTCCAAATTTAATAATTTGCTTTTAAGCTTAAGAATGGTACTTACTTACTTGAGGTCTTTAAATCTCAAGTCAGCACTAATTCATTTTACAAAGACGCAAATACTAAAATATCAAAACTCAAAATTTAAATCCCAAATGAGAAATAACTTTAAACTTGTCAGCATTATATATATATGGAAATGCCCGCATAAAAGTCCTGAGTAAAGTGTGTAATATAAAGCTGAAATCTATGAAGCGCTAAACTGGAAATATTATAATTGTCATTTAAAATTCCAAATTAAAGAATTCTCACTTTAGAATAAGACTGAGTATGCTGAATTGAGTGGAATATTTTTATGAAACTAGCATTTGTATTCGTGTCCTTCTTGTGTTGTGATGTGTCTCAGTGTTGTGTTTCCTTTCCCAAATAAGATCCAAGGCCTGCTCCGGCGATCAATTCAAAAGTTACGGCTGCAGAGGAGTCTTACTTCCTCGTCCGAGTGGAGACGCTCGACTCGTTCAGAGCCTTTAAGCAGGATGATGGTCAATGGTCGTGGCCAACGAGGAGCTTTGAGGCCTTTTCTATATGTGAAACAGTATGTGCATGTTTTTGTACAGCATGTATAATTTATTTTTATTATTTATTATTAAAATGTTCTTTAATTTTGACTACATTGGAAAGGGAATGTATGCATATGCATGCCAAGTACCCAAATTATTTAACGTTTACATTTGAATGCATGTTTATGAAACTGCAACATTCGTCCGAAAGCACATTTTCATGACTCTATTAATCGGCTGACATACAATAATTACGGTTCACTGTTTCAGCGGGTACTTCACACAGATGTTAAATGATGGGGTATTTTTCCAATACTTCATTTAATGTTTCACTTTTCCCTTTTCAACTTCATACCACCCGTTAGGAAGTCAGTTTCAGTAGCACCGAATATTCTTTGCAAAATTCCCTCTAATACGCGCAGCTGTACGACCGCGCTGTGATTTTAGAAGTTAAAGTCAACACACTATGCAATCAAGAGAAAGTTTTACGTCCGATATTTATAGAAGAAATTCCATTTCTTTATCTCAGTGGCTTTCAGAGAATGAAACTTCATCAAAAGAAAGCAACAAGTCATACTTCGAAAAAATATGATTGTATTCCTTGAAAAACGGAAGAGTGATACAGGTACCGCATATATACCTTTTCAAAGTATTCCTGTTAAATTCTCTGACGTTTCACCTAAAGACTATTGTGCCTTGGTCTGTTGAAAAGAGCTCGGGAATGATGGATTCCGGAAAGAAGTAGAAGAATGACAATCAACAGACCTAACTCTTTTATCATGGAAATCACGATTCAGAATTATAATTCAGAAAAAAAGGTTATCAGATAGAACTTTAAAAAAATAATGTTTCTATTTTAAACATTAATTAAACGGCCCCGAGATCATTCTAAAAGTATGTGAACACCTTCTGTATTAGACACCCGTCTTACGTACACATCACCAACCTTGGGTGCACTTAGCCAATGCTGCGTTTCCACTATCAGTGGAAATTATGCATGCTAAACAAGAGATGCATGATTCGTTTTTTTTACAAAAAATAAATGTTATTATTTCCACACTGTTTCAGTTTTTAAATCACGTCACCACGTTTCATTCACGTCGCTATTATTCCGTTCTTGTTATCAGGTTCTTATTAAAATCGTTAGATGACACCGCGTTCATTTACTCTTGAGAATAATGTGAAAATTTCCAGAAGCATATAGAACGTTTAAAGCAGGATTTGCAGGTGCTGTCTCTTAGTTTTTAACGAATATTTCGAAAGTGGTGAAACAATTGGCCAAAGTGGATGGTGATTTTCCGTAAAAAGCCATAGCCGATAACACTGCAAGCATCATTTCCTACTAAGACTGTTAGATGGCACTGCGTTGGTTATATCTTTAGAACATAGCAGAAATTTTCAGAAAGGTGCAGAACTTTTAGAGCAGGGTTCAAGTGCGTTCTCTATCAGTTTTTCGCGAACACTTCGAAAACGGGATTTCGAAAAACCTACCCCGTTTTCCAAAATAAAACCTCTTTACGCTGCGTAAAGAGCGGGCAATGCTGGGTACTTCAGCTAGTTTACAATTCCCTATTCCATAATTCAAAAAAACGTTGTAAAAGGCATGGTCAGTGCGTCTATTCAGTTCTTGATGTACATCAGCACAGGGAAGCATTTATAAAACTACCTCTAAACTGTAATTTCTTGCCATAAATGCACTAGTTTAATAGCAAAAGTTAAGCTTTCGGGTATGTTGACTGCATAAGCTCTAGACATATAAAAACGTATTTAATGAAGTAAGAAAATCTAAAGTTAATAATACAACAACTTTAAATTTCGCGTAGGTTTATGTCAAACTCTCAGTCGATTTCGAGGTACAGGTCCCTCTTTGTCAGGAGAAAAGAAATCTGCAAAACTGGAAAGTAATGGGAGTAACGATTGTGTTGTATTTTATATGTGTTGGGTACGTGCTCAGTGATGATTACAAGATGTACACAAACATCGTTTATTCTACATTACTCATCTACTATTCTATATTACAGTTATGATTAAAGATAATAATAGATACAGTTACAGTTACATATATAACACCTCCCTTTTTTATAAAAAATAATGTAAATTTAAATATAATTATTTTAAAATAATAAGGTTTCTTAACAGTCCTACCAGATCGAGTGACGTAGTTATGTCATTGAAAAATTTGATGATACTATAACCTCTTCACTATTTAGTGACACAACACTTCTGTTAGATTTTGAAGGACTTACAGGCACATCTAAATTTGTAGTGCTCCTACTATTTTTATGTATTTCGGGTTCATCTATAACTTCATTCTCATCGTTGTTTTGTATTGCAAACTCTTCCTGATTAGTTCCTTTAAGAAGGTCTTTTCTGTTCCTTTCTGCAATTCTTCCATCTGTTCTTATAATCATATATGAACGTGGTCTTTCTGCTTCTTCTATAATTTTCCCTCTTTCATTTAGTTTTTTCCCTTTCTCTTTTAGGTAAACATGTAAACATGATTTCCTGGTTTTCAGTGGTTTTTAACGATCTTGCATTCCTATCATATAACTTTTTGTAAGGTTTGTCCTCTTCAGTAAATGTTGTTTATGGTCTTCATATCGTTTAGCTTGGACAAAAATTCTCTTTTATAGGCATCAATCCATTTACTTTTCTTCCAAACATCAATTCTGAAGGTGACTTAATTCATCTGAAATAGGAGAGTTACGATATTCCAGTAATACTAAATATGGATCCTTGTTGTCAACTACAGCTTTTTCTAACATTCGCTTGACAGTGTGAATATGTATTTCAACCATTCCATTAGATTGTGGGTAATTTACTTGAAGTTCTGGTTTCAAAATTCCATCTTCTTGCAAAATCTTTAAACTTTCTTCAATTATATTGTGGACCATTATCCGAATATACTATTTTCGGAATACCATGTCTTTCAAAAATTGATTTCAATTGCTTTATCACTGCTACACTTGACAAATCTTCCAAATGTCCAATTTCAACATATTTCCTAAAATAATCTATTACTATTAGATAATCCCTTCCTTGAAAGTAAAAGAGATCTGTTCCCAATACTTCCCATGGACCATTAGGTATTTCGTTAGATATCATCGGTTCTTTAGTATTAGCTTTTTGTAAACTTAAACATGTTTGACAATTCAGTACCAAATCTTCAATTTCTTTCGACATTCCTGGCCAATATTATATTTCTTTTGCTTTGATCTTGCATTTTACTACTCCTAAATAACTATAATGAATTCTGTTTAACATATCTTTTCGTAAACTTCTTGATACAACAACACAGGAATTTTTAAATATTAATCCATTTGCTTCTGATAGTTCTTCTCTGAAGTTAAAATATGGTTTTGCCAGTTCTGGAACCATACATTTTTCATCTGGCCATCCAGTTTTAATTAATTTTCTTAAAACTTGTAGTTCTTCATCTTTTTCTGTTTCCAGTTGAAAAACTTCCATTTTACCATTAGACATTGGTATACATTCTATAACTAATCCAACATGAGCTTCTATATCTCCTTCAAAGAAATCAGATCCTTTATCAGTGAATGATCTTGATAATGCATCTATAAAAAGTTCTTTTCCTGGTTTATGTTTTATCTCAAACTGATATGGCTGTAATCTTATACGCATTCTTTGTAGTCTTACAGGGCATTTGTTTAATGGCTTTTTGAAAATTGATTCCAGTGGTTTATGATCACTTTCCACAGTAATATATTTTCCAAATATATACTGGTGAAATTTCGTACACGCAAATACAATAGCTAAAGTTTCCTTTTCAATTTGAGCATAATTCTTCTGTGTATCTGTTAATGCCTTAGATGCATATGCCACTGGTAAATTATTCTGCAGTAAGACTGCTCCTAGTCCTTCTTGAGATGCATCTACAGATAAAACTACTGGCATCTTTATATCATAATACTGTAAAACTGGTTTATTTACTAAGACATCTTTTAGTCTTCTAAATGCTTTTTCGTGTGTTGCATTCCAGTTCCAGATAATTTGTTTTTCAACAAATCTCTCAAACATGATGTCAATTCTGATACATTAGGTATAAATCTAGAAACATATGTAATCATTCCTAGGAAAGTTTCTAATTCTTTTACGTTTTTTTTTTTGGTGGTTTTATATCTAGAATTGCTTTAATTTTGTCTTCATCTGGTTTTAAACCATCTTTAGAAAATATATGTCCCATATATTTCACTTCATTCAGCCCAAATTTACATTTATTTAAATTAAATTTAACATTCTTTTCTCTGGCTCTGTCCAATAACTTCTTTAATCTTGAATCATGTGCTTTTTTATCTTTACCTCAAACTAATAAGTCATCTATATATATTTGAACTCCTTCTAAATCACTAAAAATTTCAAAAAAAACTTCTGTGGAAAACTTCTGGTGATGAACTCAGTCCATATGGCAACTTCAAAAAACAATATCTACCAAACGGAGTGTTAAATGTAGTAAATTCACAACTTGAATCTGACAGTTTAATTTGCCAAAATGCTTTGCTTGCATCTAAAATACCAAAGACCTTTGCATTTGTCATTTGAGATGAAATTTCTTCAAAGGTTGGTATGTGATAATGTTCTCTCAGTATATTTTGGTTAAGGTGCTGAGGATCTAAACACACTCTTAAATTTCCATCCTTTTTCCTTACTACCACTAATGAATTCACGAATTCTGTTGGTTGGTTAACTTTCTTTATAATACCATCTTTTTCCATTCTTGCTAATTCCTTTTTTAATGGATTTAATAAGCTAAGTGGAATTTTCCTACAGGATTCTATTTTACCAACAGCTCCTGGTTTTAATTTAATATGATATGTATATCCAGTTAAATTCCTAGTTCCTTTAAACAATTCTTGATATCCTTTTAAAGATTCTGGTAACTTTTCATTGGCATCAGGATTTACTGTACAAATCCTTTGAATTAGGTTTAATTTTTGCAATGTAGGTAAACCTAAAATAGCTGGAACAGTTTTATCACATGCTACGACTTGAAATTCTACTTCATCCTTGTCCCCTT